GTCGCCACTTTCGTGGGCTCCTGGGAGGCCCAGCGGAGGTACGTCCCACGCGGACTACCTCGGAACCTCGCCGCCCCCTGGGGGGCTTGCGATCTGTGCAACTGTCGCCACTTTCGTGGGCTCCTGGGAGGCCCAGCGGAGGTACGTCCCACGTCGACCATTCGGAGGTACGTCATACGCGTTTTTTTCAACGCCCCTGTGCTTCCATTTTGTATAGTTGCCGTTCCTCCCCTTCTTGCTGCGATCTTCTGAAATCACTGTTGGGTGCTCTGTTGGCGCACTGCGGGTCCTTCAGAATGCCAGTCAGCATTGAGTGGCCCTGAGTATCATCGCCACATGTATAGAAAAGGTCGGGTACGTCACAGGGTAGTATGTTTTGACGATATCGGGGCACCTGTTCAGTATTCTTCTCGCGGCAGGGTTCTCTCGCGGGTCGAGCTCCTGCTGCACGTGCGCCCAGGGCCCCGAGGGCGGCCCCCCGGGAGGCCGCCGCCGCCCTGGCTCCGCCCAGGGCCGCGAGATGAGGGAGGAGTGAGTGGAAGGAGGAGGAGGCAGGGAGGGAGGAGGGAGGAGGAGGAGTAGGAGGGAGGGAGGAGGAGGAGGAGGAGGAGGAGGAGGAGCCTGTCTTGATCTCTCGCTCAAGATCCGCCTGTAGGGGGACACGCCCGACCTGAGGCAAAGGGCGCAAAGACCCTCGGAGGCCGCAGTGAGGGGGGCTCTTGCCGGGCGGCGGGCGGCCCGTGGGAGCGGCAGAGGGCGGGCCGCAGATGCAAGCTCCTCCTCCTCCTCCTCCTCCTCCTCCTTCCTCACCCATCCTCCAGAGCGCTCCCCTCCCCCGTCCTCTCCTCCCTCCTCCTCCTCCTCCTCCTAACCACCTCCTCCTCACTCAGTCTCCTCCCGAGACGCAAGGGCACCCCCGGAGGCAGGCGCGCGTCCCTGCCAGGCGCGGCGGGCACGTCCGAGCTTCCCACTCCGCGGCGGGCCAGGGGGGGCAAGCGAGAGGGGGGGAGGCCTCTTCTCACAGGGCGGCGGGGCTTCTGAGAAGCCCTCGCGCTCTCTGAGAGGAGCGCCGTCTCTGTTTCGTCTGCGGCGCAGGCGGAGGGAGCTTCGCGGCAGCTGGGCGAGCGGCTGCGGCCGCGCCTCCTACAGACGGACTTCGGAGGAATGATCAGAAGAGTCCTGCAACAACAAAAAAAGAGAGCGCGAAAAAACGTCGCCTGACTTGTTCCATTCGCGAGCACTCTTCCTGCAGGGGGACATGCCCGAGTTTGATTCCCCGATCTAGTATTAGAGGCGCGTGGACTCTACTCGACTTGGAACAAAGGCACCTCCAGGCGCCGGGGTCGGACGGCGGGATACGCGCCAAGAGCGGCCCAGGCCCGACGAGGTAGGCGCAGGCATGGAGACAGAGACGGCCGAGAGGCCGATGCGGAGAGGCCGACTGCGAGACGGAGAGACTGAGGGATACGGCTGGGCCGCTGTCGTAAGGAACCCTAACTAGGGAGCGAGGCCCCTGTTTTCCGTAGGTGCCGATGCGGAGAGGTCGACTGAGAGACTGAGAGACTGAGGGATACGGTCGGGCCGCTGTCCTAAGGAACCCTGATTGAGGAACGAGGCCCATGTTTTGTTCCATAGGCTACACTTTGATCTCCCCTGGAAAGCCTGAGGAAAACCTGAGGCAGACTGTAAAACAATCAAGGAGCACCGAGCCCCTTCCCAACGAGAAGGGCTCCTGCTTCGGCGGCCCCCTCCCCCAGGATGCGCAAGAGCACCCAACGAACACACAGAACCCTAGGGCACCCTCCCCGAACCGACCTCGATCTCACGCCTCTCGGCCCCACGGCAGGCCGACAGGGACGAGGAGGAGGAGGAGGAGGCGGAAGAGGAGGAGGAGAAGGATAAGATGGAGGAGGAGGAGGACGAGGAGGAAGAGGAAGAGAAGGAGGAGGAGGGGGCGAAGGAGGAGGAGGAGGAGGAGGAGGAGAAGGATAAGAGGGAGGAGGAGGGGGAGGAGGAGGAGAGAGGAGGAGAGGAGGGGAGGGAGGAGGAAGAGGAGGAGTAGGAGGAGGAGCAGGAGGAGGAGGAGGAGGAGGAGGAGGTCCGCGCGAGGCGCGAGGCGCATTAGCCCGACCGCCCTCGGGGGCAGGTCGGCGCACGGCCCCCTGCCGCGAAGCGGCTCGCGCTTTCTGCGCGCGGTCTCGCGGCGCGGCTGTTGCGAGGGGCGCACGGCGGTCGGCGAAGGGGACCGGGCGGGCTCGGGGCAGATATCATGGCCCCCGCCATGATATCTGCCTCGAGCCCGCCTCGGCATCCAGTGAAGACGAGAAGGTGGGTTAAGAAGGCAGGCAAAGAGACCGACTGACCCGCTTGAATTATGCCCCAATCGGTAGAAGCGAGCAGGAGCATGAAGCATCATGTCACTCCTAATCGGGCTCTGATCCAGTCACCTCTGAGCGTGGCGCTGGGTCAGGGGGCATAGTCTGTGTTTGTGCACATCCCTGCCTCGGATAATGAAGTTTTCGTGCGAGGGTCTGCCGTGCAATGACGGCGATTTGCCGTAGCACTGAGGGCGGGGGGCACGTGGGAGAGGGTGGAGGTCAATGGAGGACGAGGAGGGGAGGAAGGGAGGGGATGTGGAGGGACAGGGGGAAGGTGCACAAGGTAAAGTGGAAGGAGGAGGTAGAGAAGCCGCGCAGCACAGCAGGCACAAGACGGGGGTGGACAGAACGCCGCTAACCTAGATCGGGGGCGGCCAAGGGGGGGGGTCCAAGAGGGTGGGGCGCAAATCATGGCTGGCGGCATGTGCGCGGCCCAGGGGATGGGCCAGGGATGTATTGAGATAAGAAGGGGCGCCATGAAATCTGGGGAGACATCATGGCCCCCGCCATGATATCCACCCCCCCTAGTCATCACCCCTCTCTTTGCCGCCTCCGACTAGACACAGGCCGCATGGGCACGGGGACGAGAACTGTTTTCCACCACCACCACCACCATAAGTTGGAGGAGGGAAGGAGGAGGACGAGGAGGAGGAGTACGAAGAGGAGGAGGAGGAGGAGGAGGAGGAGGAGTAAGAAAAGGAGGAGGAGGAGTACGAAGAGGAGGAGGAGGAGGATGAGGAGGAGGAGGATGCACGAAGTGATCGAGCGTCGATGGCGGCGCGCTGTGCCGGGCATCCATTCGCACGCCTCACGCGGGGGCCACGGTGCGTAAACGGGGCACGCTGGCCAGCCGCGCAAGACTGCGGCTCCGCATGCGACGAAGGCTGCTGCGCCTGGCCCCTTGACACAGCGGTGACTACCTGCCAGACCACCCCAACTCAACCCGAAGACCCAAGTTTCGGGTTGGGGGGGGTACGGGTTCCGCATGTATTTTCTCGATGTTCCCCAGACCCCCCCCCCAAACTGGAAATCGAGGGTTAATTTGGGCCTTCGGGTTGAGTTGGGGTGGTTTGGTGGGTGGTAGACACGGGG